CAACTAATAAAAAAAAAAAAAACAAGTGGGCTCCCCAAAGTCAACGTTATAGTTTGAACACTGCTTTTAAGGCGGCATCCTGACTGAAATGTAACTTATAAGAGACCAACTTGGAATGTAAGCTGCAACACTATACGCCATATAAATAGTGCTCCTCATGCAAAGTACACAACAGTCTCAAATCACAAGTGATTTGTTTTTTATCTTGCATCATGATGTAATACTTTAATAAGCAGATATATACATTTTGATGAAATAGTATAAAATTAGATTCAATTTCTTTTATTAGTTATTAACGTTTTAATTATTTTAATGTAAAATAATACTTCAATTATTAAATGATTCTCACTAATACTTTTTAGAATTAGTTTATAATCAACATTTCTCTCGCATCGTCTGCCATCTCATAGTTCAAGGATACATGCAATGTTGTCTTAAAATGTGGTCAAAATTAGTTATCTTATATGGAAGCACATTTTTTGCCACAGAAGAAAAAAAATATCATGCTTTTGCTAAATAATATTAATGACTTACAGTCGAAATGATGAGATACTAAGTCATAATTATGAGATGCTAAGTCAAAATAAGACCATAAGTCAATTATGGGATAAAAGTCGAAATCATGAAATTAAACATCAATCTTTACACAACAAGTCAATTATGACAAAGTCAATCTTTTATCATAATTTTAGCTATTCTATAATTATAACTCATTTGTCATAATTATGACTTTTTATCTCATAGTTTCAACTTTTTGTTATAAGTTTATATTTTAATGTCATAACTGTTTTGTCATAATTTCGACGTTGTCACATAAGAAATCATGCTTTGCTAAGTCATAACTATAACATACAAGTCCTAATTATAACATAGAAAATTCAAAGAGATACTAAGTCTGTCATAATTAGGAGATAAAAAGTTCAAATTATCTCCATAATTAGAGATAAAAGTTGAAACTGCGACAAGTCAAAACCATGAAATTAAACATGTTTGACAAAGTCATAATTATAATTTTCTAATTTCATGTTTTTATGTCATAATTGCTTTTATGTCACAATTATTTACCAAAGCAATATTTTTTCTCTTAAATGGCAGAAGCAGGGTTTCCTAGTCTTAGTAGGAAGCATGATTAAATTATGTGATTAGGATACTGTCTAGGCAGGCAGCTCACTAGATTTTGGAACAAATCTAATATGCATTGTTTGCTGGGTCTGTCTATAAATGGTCTGCAGGTGGTGATGCACCTGAAGTGGGGTTACATCGGCAGACACAGACTCATTCCTGTGAGGAGTATGACTCAGGAGTTATCTCATGCTCTGCTGCTCACTCCCAGATGATGCAAGGGCTAGGCGGCTTTATCAGCTAATAAGACGCCATGCTTGTCAGATTGCAGTGTGCTGGCAGAGGCCATATCATTTTACTCCCTGTGCCCCACCTCTCTCCTCATCTATAATTAATTTGCCATCAGCACAGTCAATGCCAAAAAATAACGACACATTCTACCAAACTATCACACTGGCTTTGGGCTGGAAAAAATGAACTTAAACGTATGACCAAAGTGTACATTTTCCTTAGAAAGTAGAGATTTGATGCTTGAGATGTTGCTACATGCTGAGATGAGACTTCTGAATGAGTCTTCCTGTAAGCAGGGTGACTAACGTTGGTGTCAGCTCTGCCCTTTAGCTAATGTTCCAGTTACACTAAGCAGAATTAATGTGCTGCTCCTCACCAAATACCCAGGGGGAATCAGCTACGTGTGTGGATAGCATGAAGTTGGTATCATAAGGTGTGATTACAGTTCAGATATGGTTCCACTCTTTTAAATACCTTGACAAAATGATGCTCAGTTCTGTTAACAGAATCACACAAATTCTGCCGACTATGCATCGGTACCAACAACACCGCTACTGAATCTATACTACTGTTCAATAGTTTGGGGTCAGAAGTTAATACTTGTAATTCAGCAAGGACACAAACTGAAAAAAATGACAGTAAATTCATGTATAATGTTATAAAAGATTTCAAATTTTTTTTAATGCTGTTCTTTGGAATTTTCTGAAAAGAATGTATCATGTTAAACAGCACTGATAATTCAACACTGATAATAATAAGAAATGTTTCTTGAGCAGCAAATCAGCATATGAGAATGATTTCGGAAAGATCATGCGACACTGAAGACTGGAGCAACGGCTGCTAAAAATTCAGCTTTGTCATCACTGGAATAAATACAAAACAATGATTTTAAACTGTAATAACCCTAGTAAAAATGTATATATTTAAAATACATTTATTTCATACTAAGTATATTTCAAATCTATTAACATATTGCTCGAGACTTACTGACAAAATTATAATGAAACTTTATTTGGAATACTACTTGTGCACAATGCACATTTCTTAATATTAAGCCTAAAATGTGTTTTAATGTCACTAATGATGAGGATTGTATGATCTTTGAATAATTGCAAGATATTTAAAGTGTACTTGAAGTATACTTACAATAGTTCCACTTTAGCAAATATACTTCAGTATATCTTTAGTTGTACTTCAGCACTACTTTCGCACAATTAAAGTGCATTAAGTACAAAATTAGTTGTTCCAATTTAGCAGACTTTAAGTATACTAGTTTAGTATACCAAAAGTACAACTGCAGGGTATTTTATTAAGCACATGCATATGTAAATGTGTTTTTAGTATACTTGGCATTACATTAATGGATTTCAAATAAATTTTAGTATATTTAATTTTCACTAGGAAATACATCAGAATGTTACAGTTTTTTTCTGTATTTTTCACAATGGTTGAAGTCCAGGAACACAACCTCGCGAGCGTGGGAGGCCAGGAAGGTGCTGATCTGCTCCAGGCCTTCACGTACGGTGGCGCTGAACAGGCCGTGTGCAAAGTAGAGCTCATTTTCGGGGTCTCTGGGTTTGGTGGATATGCGGAGGTCAAAGAAGCGGATGCCCGCCTCCAGCTGGCTGGTGAAGTTCATGGTCTGTGTCGCCAACCACTTCCTCATCAGCTTCTTGGCCACTGTGCCAAACACAGAGACAAAGTTCTGCACGGTCTCAGGCTGCTCCGGCCCAACTGGTGAGGCTTCGTCGATGTAAAAACTAAAGGAGTCGTGGGAACCTGGATGAGAAGATTTCTGAGTTAGTGATATACATGAAGAGAGAACATAAAAATGATGACAACAGAGCGACCAAATGCAATTTTCTGGCTCATATAAAACATTCCTAAGGGAACTTGTTATCTTATGTATAATACAAAAATCACCGGTCTTTGTGGAATGATAAAGGCAACATTCACCTTGCTTTAGAAGAAACACCACATAAAAATATAATATAATATAAAATATACCTACACTACCATTCAAAAGTAGAGAGAAATTAATACTTTTATTTAGCAAGGATGCATTAAATTAAAGGTGACAGTGAAGACTGTTACAAATGATTCTATTTGAAATAAATGCTGCTCTTCTGAAATTTCTATTCTTCAAAGAATCCTGAAAAAAAAGTATAATGGTTTTAAACATTGATAAAAAATGTTTCTTGAGCAACAATTCTGCATATTAAAATGATTTCTGAAGGATCATGCGACACTGAAGACTGGAGTAATGGCTGTTGAAAATTCAGTTTTGCATCACAGGAATAAATTAATTTTTTTAAAAATATAGTAAAACAGAAATGATTTATTATTTTATCTTAAAATATTTCACAATATTACTGGTTGTACTGTATTTCTGATCAATGAGGCCTTGATGACCATAAGACAAAAACTTTTGACAAATGTATTGTAGTATATTTAATAGTAAAGATTTATTCTGTGGATCAATAAAGGGATTAATTTTAAATTCATATTTAACTATATTTTAACTAAATATTTAATTATTTTATATAAATACTGATATTTAATATAGTAAAAAAAAAATGGTAGAGACCAGCTTTTTGACAGAATATTCTGGCTGGCATGTCCACGAAAATATTCCATTTTGGCTGCTTTCTGATAAAGTTATTGAATATTCCGACTTCACAGACATGCACAAGACTACGAGTGCACATCAAATGTGCCATTTGGGACAAGGCCAACTGCTCTAAAAATGATGAGAACAATTATTTTAAGGTGACTTGCTCTGAAAAAGACACAAATCTAAAACTGCCTGACAATCTGCAGTACTTTTGTACAGCAGGAACCTAAGAATACATATAATGGCTGTTGTAACGGTTAAATGGAATAATGCAATAGCCAACACTTGCATCCAGACTGCAGCAGGAGGAAAAGCGTTGCCAGGGCCTACAGGATAATAATGTGGAGTTCACAAGCACGCTTTCAATGTAAATATAGAGCAAAGCCAGGTGCTATGTTTGATCTCCAAAAATCAAAACAACTATTTAAATAGATGCATTGCTAATGTAATTAAATGAAAGCATTAAGCAGTCTATAACCTGTGCGTGTGAGAGAGACACTCCGAATATTATTTTTGATGAATAAACAATGCAGCTCTGCACCTGAAGGCAGCATCAACAGAAAGAAAGAGAGGAAGAAAAAGAGAGAGAGAAAGAAAGAAAGAGAGGAAGAAAAAGAGAGAGAGAGAGAAAGAAAGAAAGAGAGAGAAAGAAAGAAAGAGAAAGAAAAAGAGAGAGAGAGAAAGAGAGAAAGAGAGAGAGAGAGAGAGAAAGAAAGAGAGAAAGAAAGAAAGAGAGGAAGAAAAAGAGAGAGAAAGAAAGAAAGAGAGGAAGAAAAAGAGAGAAAGAAAGAAAGAAAGAGAAAGAAAAAGAGAGAGAGAGAAAGAGAGAAAGAAAGAGAGAGAGAGAGAAAGAAAGAGAGAAAGAAAGAAAGAAAGAAAGGAAGAAAAAGAGAAAGAGGAAGAAAAAGCGCGAGAAAGGAAGAAAAAGAGAGCGAGAAAGAAAGAAAGAAAGAAAAAGAAAGATAGAAAGAGAAAGAGAAAAAGAAAGAAAGAAAAAGAAAGAAAGAAAGAAAGAGAAAGAAAAAGAAAGAAAGAATTGCAACCCTCAGAGATTTGCTAGAGTTTTCCCAGATCAATGTCTCTACTCTGTTATGACAATAATGTGCGTCATATGTGACGCTGGACTACAAAACCAGTCTTAAGTCGCTGGGGTATATTTTTAGCAATACCCAAATAAAACATTGTCAAAATTATAGATTTTTCTTTTATGCCAAAAATCATTAGGATATTAAGTAAAGATAATGTTACATGAAGATATTTTGTAAATTTCCTACCATAAATATGTCAAAACTTAGCATTGCTAAGGACTTCATTTGGACAACTTTAAAGGCGATTTTCTCAATATTTAGATTTTTTTTGCACCCTCAGATTCCAGATTTTCAATTAGTTGTATCTTGGCCAAATATTGTCCTATCATAACAAACCATACATCAATGGAAAGCTTATTTATTCAGCTTTCAGATAGTGGATAAATCTAAATTTAAAAAAAAATTACCATTATGACTGGTTTTGTGGTCCAGGGTCACATATATCTAGTGAATGTCCATTAAACAGATCAGCCTGGAAATACACAGATTCCGTTGCTGTTACCTCCTGTGTCAAATTCAGACTAATGAGTAACAGTAATGTCTCACTTCCCTCCTTGACATAGGTAATGCCTTCTGGTACGTGGAAACGGAGGGAAGTCTCCACAAACACAATTTCCATGTACGTCTCATTAAATCAGAGACTGTGAAGGGAGATAAGATGTGAGCGTAACCGGAAATCAGTTTTTATGAAAACAGCACTATACATTACTATTTAAACGCGTTTTCTCATTTATTCTCATCCTTTTTATTACATTTTTAAAAAACTAATTGATAGCAACTTGTCTTTTCTCCTTAAGGTGTTGTGCAAAACTTAAAGACAAAGGAAAGTGAACTCACACTGAAGCTGTATTCAGTAGAAAACCATGTGAAATTCAACAGGCCTGAACAACTACAGCTCCATGGGAACCCAATGCATTTATTTGGTGTTCTAATAGCTCCTCAGCTAAATGCAAAGGAGTATCTTCTTGTTATGAGATCCCTGCTTTGAGATGCACTGAGCTGATATTAGGAAGGTTTGAGGAAAATTATTTCTGGGAAAATGGACCATTTAACAAAATGAAAGTGACTGACTGGGCTCATGTTTCACATCTGAACCTCTGAGAGGAGGCACATTAGAGTGGATTAAAGACTCATTTTTGTTTTTGAAACATGCAATTCAGAGATGATTACTGAAACAATATATTTTGTTGTGCAGGGAAGTCACAGACCTGTCTACAGTAAAATAAATAAAAAGCTAATTATATTATAACACAAACAAAAAATATATACACAAAACACCTATGTATGACACAAAACACCTGTTCACAACATTGCCGAACAAACCTAGATGAGAAAACCTAGATGAGAACGAGTTACCTGTCCAACATCACATAATGCAGCTCAGAGACATGCTGGTCATACTAAAAAACAAACCAGCAACATACAGGAGATTCTATCCAAGGGTTTACTGCAAACCCTTAGGCTGCTGTGTGATGATATAACTACTCACAAAAGATTGACATGTCACTGTCAACCACAGGGGACAGCCTCTCAGTTCAGCAGGACTGAAACAATATATTTTGTTGTGCAGGGAAGTCACAGACCTGTCTACAGTAAAATAAATAAAAAGCTAATTATATTATAACACAAACAAAAAATATATACACAAAACACCTATGTATGACACAAAACACCTGTTCACAACATTGCCGAACAAACCTAGATGAGAAAACCTAGATGAGAACGAGTTACCTGTCCAACATCACATAATGCAGCTCAGAGACATGCTGGTCATACTAAAAAACAAACCAGCAACAGCAAAACATACAGGAGATTCTATCCAAGGGTTTACTGCAAACCCTTAGGCTGCTGTGTGATGATATAACTACTCACAAAAGATTGACATGTCACTGTCAACCACAGGGGACAGCCTCTCAGTTCAGCAGGGAAAAAAGTAATCATTACAGGAAAAAGTGACTCTTTTCCCCATGGTGACTGTGCAATTTCATGTCTGGTCACTTAATCTTTTCCATTTATCTTGTTTATTGAGACTTGGCAGGCTAAAAATCCTCTCTTTTGGGTCTAAAGTGCAGGATTTATGGATGAACAATTGGATGGATGGACAGATTTAAAGATGAATCAGACAAGAGCAAACGGTGCCTTCGAGGTTTGAATCCATTACGATTTTTCATGCCTCTAGTGCAACTTTAAGTAATTGAAATCATTTTGTATGTGCGCATGTGGCCGTGTGTGTGTGTGCGCGATCTGTCAGGAAATAATAATTCCTACACTTCACCGCAGGAAACATTTTGGGTAGGCATTTTTGACTTCAAAGCAATGCAATGCTCTACTATGAAGAAAAATGAGTGATAGGAGAAGAGAAAAATGGGTAATTAAAATAATTTTCAGAGAACAATTATCTGCAACAAAGATGTGCCTCGAGTTGGATGATTTTTTTGGTCTTCAATCGAGCATGTACAATCAGTCCAAGTGTTTAGCCAATAACTGGCGACTTGGCAGGCTAAAAATCCTCTCTTTTGGGTCTAAAGTGCAGGATTTATGGATGAACAATTGGATGGATGGACAGATTTAAAGATGAATCAGACAAGAGCAAACGGTGCCTTCGAGGTTTGAATCCATTACGATTTTTCATGCCTCTAATGCAACTTTAAGTAATTGAAATCATTTTGTATGTGCGCATGTGGCCGTGTGTGTGTGTGCGCGATCTGTCAGGAAATAATAATAATTCCTACACTTCACCGCAGGAAACATTTTGGGTAGGCATTTTTGACATCAAAGCAATGCAATGCTCTACTATGAAGAAAAATGAGTGATAGGAGAAGAGAAAAATGGGTAATTAAAATAATTTTCAGAGAACAATTATCTGCAACAAAGATGTGCCTCGAGTTGGATGATTTTTTTGGTCTTCAATCGAGCATGTACAATCAGTCCAAGTGTTTAGCCAATAACTGGCCATGGATGCCGTTCATGGACAGGAAAAAGACTTGGCATAGCAGATGAGTTTCTAATGGCACTCTCCTGATGCCTCAAGGTCAAATGTCTAGACCGGACAAGATCACTTCTAACATACCACTGCA